GACGTATACGCCGGCGGGTATGGCATAGGATAGCACTGAGGGTTGCATTCACTCGCGTCGACCGCCCGTTGCGTGAAAACGGTGTTCATTGGAGTACTTCTCGTATTTTTGTTCAGTATTTTTAAATTGACTTTCTTTGAGACCTTTCTGTGCAGAGATCTCTTGTCTATGGTTTGATTGGTAAGCATTTGATTGATGGCGAGCACCACCTGATCGCACACGAAGCACATCTCACCAAAGCCCAGATGCCAGGTGTCGGCGACGGACGTGTTGTAGTGACACATTGTATCGGTGCTCAGATTGGCCGGCGAGCGCTGGTGGGTTTGCGGGTCAAACTTCCATGCTGAATTGTACGAGTTGGTCGGGGTCAGGTATGCCGAGTTTAAGAGCTGCCATTTGGCCAGCATGCAGTCGGAATAGTAACCGTGGTGCAAATAAAACACAAAACTAAAGCCACATACAAAAAACGACACATATTAAATAAAAGGTTAGCTCTCTCTCTTTCTCTCTCTCTCTCTCTCTCTCTCTCTCTCTGTCTCTCTCTCTGTCTCTCTCTAATAATGAAATGAATGTCTGTACTCATAGGGAGCGTGTGCTTCGCTGTAATGTCCGGCCCAACCGCCCATATTTAAGTGTTGGTGAAAGTGTTGACCCAAAGTAAAGAAGTAAAAAATAATGATAGAAGTGCTTATATTGAGGTAAAACTGTTCCAACTCAGGGCACGTCCAGGGCTTGACCACACCATCGCTCGGCCACTGGCGCTTAATGCACCGGTTCGTCGTCTGGGCTGTAAACGGACCGTCGGGTATGCAATAGTTGGTGGCATTGGTTCCAGTGGTGCCGAAATACTGCCATATAAGTGACTCTTGAGGGTTAACGCAATCTTCAGACGTAATCTCAAAACATAGATTCAATGCAAAAGTTAATATAAAGTTTATAATAGTTATAACTATATTAATGTACAATCAATTTAATAATTAGTATTATTAATTAGTAGTATAAACAATGATCACTAAATACCCAATATGGCAACGTAACACCAGGGTCAATCTTGAGCATTTCGAGTTCCAGTTTGTTCATAAGCCATCGATGTGCGACGGGGCCCTCAACCGACTTGTGCCAGATGACCCAACACTTGGCATGTATTTGAGCAAGGTTCCACATAAACCCATTGGCGTATAGCACCTGTAGGACAGCGATCACACGCGTTCGCTCGCTATGAGACATGCATTTGAAGTTTCGCCGCACATATAGTCGCGGACAGGGAGGCTGTGTTGGCCGGACTGAGGCCTCTGTCATGAACTTATTCTGTATATACAGCCGCGCTCTGTCCACCTCTGCCGGCGTCGGGTTGTAGGCCGTCGTACAGCCCGTGTGAATGCTTTGCGAGCATTGATTTGTTGACTGTCCTATTGATTGAAAATTTAATTTTAATAAACAATTTAACTTATTTATTATTAAATTATATTATTTATATTAAACTTATCAAATAAATAATTAGCAATTTAAATTCCTTATCATTTTATTTATTAATAATCTACTGTATAATCAATTACCATATATTTTATAAATATTTATCATAAATAAAAATGAAAATATTAATTTTGACATATTTGTTATTTTTCTAAATCACTATGTTGGCTCAATTAGAAAAATTATTTTTACGTCTAAAATGCAAAAGGTTTTTATTTTAATAATAAAATACAGATCATTGAACCTATCCTTGATTACATTTAATCTAAGGTGAACGAATATTTTATCATGCAAAAAGGTTTTAAAATATGTTTCAAAAAGTTTTAAAATTTTTATGTGAGTATATGTAGTAAAATTAGCTTATTATTAAGTTTCACATAAAAAAATATACAAAAATAAATCTGTTGAAGTATTTATCATTTTTATTGACATTATCAACAAAAATGCATATACAGTACATTGTATGTAATAAATAACAGTATGTAAATCGTGTAATAAAACAGTTGTGGACTACTATTGTTGTACACAATCACTGGTCCACAAAATATTCATCAAATGTTCCCAATTTTTTGTTTAGATAAAAATTGTCTGAACTATAAAAATATCATTTAAAGTTAATGTTGAGATAATGTTCACAATCTATGGTTTAATAGTAATTATAAACATCGGACTTATTTCTACAGAATATTCTGGTAAAAAATAAATATACAAATAATAGACATATAATTATCACTCATTAACAGATGAATGCGAGCGTAATATATTTGAGCGATGTAATCACCAAGCTGAGTTCACCGACCAGGAATTGGACGATGCTAGAGTGTGGTTACAAAACTTTATGCTACAAACACCATTAAAACCAACAAAAGCACCATGCTCACAAATATTTGTTAGAAAAGACTTCAAATGCATGACAGAAGCGGAGAGACTTGAGTTTATTCGCGTTATTCGTTTGCTATACGAGTCGGGAGTGATGTCCCGATTGGCGGACGTTCACTCCCGGTATTGGGCGGAAGTGCATAAGACGTCACAATTGGGTCCATGGCATCGATATTTTGTCAACGAGCTGGAAAAACAAATGCAACAATTGAGTTCTGGCATAACAATACCGTACTATGTAACTTAACAGGTTAATTTATGTTTACACAATTTACTAACAAATTCTCATAACGTACAGAACGCTCAGTTGGACGCCAGTAAACCCGAAAAGTCAATGGTGTGGCGATATCTGGGAAGACATGGCTTTCATTCCAACGCCTATTGCGTGACAGACGGACCCCTGTATGAGAAGCTGAACGCAACGCAATGCGTGCGCCGGCAGTGGACACCCGACGGAGCCATACCTCCCATCGACGGCTTAGAGTTGAACACAATGTGGCTTCAATTGAGCAAAGACTTTGTTACAGGCAACTTTTACGAGTCAGGCCTACATTTCAACACACATTTGGCATTTGGCGGCTATAGGGGACACATGAGCGTCGATACGGCGCCCTTCGAGTTAGTACATGTGTTTTCAATTCCCATTCAAACAATCAAACAAATTCGCCTTGATCATAAATCATTTTATTAATATTATGGCAAACAGTATACAGTTTTATTTGTGGCACAACTACCAGATGAACGTAATGTGGATGAAAAAGCAGCTCCAGAACCCAAAATATGCCACACCTCTGGACTGGGGTACAGTTCCCTCAATTGACCAAGCTACTGGCCAGATATACTTTGGCGGCGACTTGCGTACTGAACAACTCATTTACTACTCAACACCCGTACTAGACGTACATCACGTGGGTTTTGGTGACCTGTGCTCTATTCCCGACCAAATAATCGCCGCAATCCTACAAAAGATCCGCAACGAGACGGTCGTCCCGCTGGCCGTCCGACGGATGCCATACGCCCTGAAACTGCAATTCTTTCCACACTTTTTGTCCAAACATTTTGACGCCTTTTCGCACAGCTTTGAAGAGGTGGGCGACTGTAACCCCCGGTGTCGACCCATACCCTCGTTTCAGCCAATGGTGTCCACTGAAAACGGTAGACGACAACTAAAACGATTCTCCTATGACGAGAATTTGAACATTGCATTTGTGTTGGTTTTATCGCAATCGTTTTTCTCGATGGCACTGACCGAGATGAATACTTTGAGATATTGTTCGCCATATATACCATAAATTAATTATACTTTTGCATTAAACCCGATATATTTGTATAAAATTTCATATACAGTAATTTACAAAATAATAATCATTAAACAGGCTATTAATTAATAAATGTTACGTTTGCATAGATTTGCACAATTGATTGGCCGTCTCTTTGACAGTATTTCTAGATTTATCAATGTTTTCAAACACTTGTTCATTATTTGACAAATTGTTCACTTTATCGATGAGACCCCAGGGCTGGGGTTCGGCCGACGCAAAGACCAAAAACACAACGGTTCCCAATATATAGACGCCTATTGTTATATAAAACACAACATTCCAACGGCTTATATCGTTTGGCTATTAAAACAAACATAACTATTTAAAAATATATATTATATAAAACAATACACAAAAACAACTGACACTATCGTCGAGTATGAGTCCGACAACATATGGGGCCAGAAATGCCGGAAACACCGATAGTGTGGCCGCTATACCAAAGACGGTTCCCGAGAAATCGGGCGCGTATTCACTAATCATAGAGAACTCGCCGCCAGTCATAAAGCCGTAGAAAAATAGGGCTGTAATGAGTAGAGCGATCACTGATGTCGAGTCACACCCGATGGCTGTGATGATCGTCAGACACACCGCCGGTCCCATCAAAGCCGTCGTCGCGAATATCTTTCTGACCGCTGTTTTTGACAGTTTCGCCGATGACTTACGGATGACATACGCCGATAGGGGACCGCATACGGCCATTGTTACGCCTGTGGCCAGCGATGTCATGGCGTTGAACAGACCATTTTGAATGATTGGTATACCAAACACCTAGTTATCGAAATTTTACATTAATAAATGGATACAACATATTATCAACTCATTTACTCACCTTGTCTAAATAAGATGGCATTTTGGATAATAGCAAATAATAGCCCCAACCGGCGGCTATTTTCCATATAATGGACGCCCAAACACATCTAGATGTTAATATCTGAAGCCAGGGAGCGGTCGACGATCTCTATTAACATATAAAATAGGATTACACTTAAATATAAATCAAAATTAATACCGGGAATGTCAACTAACTTTTGGCGCTCCGAATGAATTAGTATTGTTTTTAATATAATTAAGTTCACTATCGGAGCACCGGATAAGTGCCGAGCGATTGCTATCGAGGGGCGTATTTTGGACGCATAGCACCCATAGTATAAACCACGGGATGTGTGCCATAAACACCACGTAGAATATGGACGGCCAGCCGTCGGCGAAACCATTTTCGGCCAAATAGCCGGCCAATGGGAATGTGACCAGATTACCAAAATTGGACCCTGCTGCTATTCCCGATATGGCGTACGTGCGTTCCATCGGAGTAAACCAGTGGGCGTATAGCGAGAAGAGTGATGCGAATACACAGCCGTGAAACAGACCCTGGGCATATTACATTTTACCATTATACTTTTATAAAAAATAATCACCTAGTGCACATTAACATACCTGGATCACTAACAGAGCAATCAGCAAATTGACGCTATAGTAGGCGGCTGTGGGTATGAGTGCGAGTATAGCACCCGATGTCATAATTGTGATACTTGTGATCCATTTAGCGCCAAATCGTTCAGTAATTCTGCCCGAAATCGTCGGCGTTATTAAATACATGTAAAAATTTGCGCCCAATATAATACCCTGGTCAGTATTTCAAACACATTTAACAATAAAATCATGTTGGTTATTTCTTATACATGTAAAACATTGGATAATTTTGTATTTGGCGCAACTTTTATGGTTGTTTTGATGTTTACATAAATACTCAATAGAGAGCACTAGTAGTCAAAACATGTAACTATTTTCACTGTTAGGTCTTTTTGCAAATTGAGATCATAGTAATCACAGTTGTCTACTCATTATAAAGGGCTTATTTCGACCTTATACAATCTACTATTAAATTAGCCATAAATTGTATTAAATATTTTGCATTATGGTCACTAAATTAGCAACTAAAATAACACTTTAATAGATTATTTTAACGCTTAATAATAAATACAATGAGCTATAAACAGTTTGACAAGTCGATTAAAAACATTTACTACACGCATTTGTATGAATTTAAATTATGACCACTAATTTATATTTTTCAAACAATCAAAACATTTACAAGCAGTTAATTATTTAATATTAATTTAACATAATACGGGCCACAACAAGCCCCTTGCCACAATTGCACTGTACAATAACTTATAATTCACCTGGATGGATTCATTCCAGTCGAATATGCCTCTAACAGTTAGCTCGTGGTCGGAATCACTACCATTGCCGACAAGCGTGCGGTCCAAACACTGGCCGCCGGGGTTAGTGTCGGCGACGGCACTGCTATTGTATTTAGCCATACGAACGATGGCCACACTTAGGCTCGAGCTATGGCTCGACATTAACGCACACGCTATACATCCCAATAATCCCACGTATAATCTCATTGTACAGTATTATCGCTAATCTGTTAACTATTTTATCATTTATTAAATAAAGTTTATTTAACGAAATTTGTCAATATAAATACATATAACTAATCGCAAAACAAACTTTAAACACATGAACATTAATTAATTTAATATTAATTAAACATTAATTCATCATTATCTATAAAAGTGAAGTTCACGCACAGAGCGTGATCATTATAAGTGCACATTTATATCATTCGTTAAATAATCGTAAACTCATTTATTTATTTATGTCACCAAAACTTTATATGTGCCCAACAATTGTCTGTTTATTGTACTTACAAAATGCATCAAAATTTATTATTTATCTGCATTATCTAATATCATCAAATGTGGCATTTTATTAGCCCTGTTCAATAAAAACATTGTATTATGACAACAATTTGCATCATTAAAGTTACATCAATTACTTTATCATCAAAAATAAATTAAATTAATAATATGAAACACTTTATATAATTAACTGCAACCATAAAACAAAGTACAATAATAAAAAATATATAACAAAAACTAAAAATGCAAAAAAGAACTGTGTCGTGACCAGGATTCGAACCTGGGTTATTGCGGCCACAACGCAAGGTACTAACCACTATACGATCACGACTCTTGCTATGAATCACTTATAACTAGCTTTATATGTGTGCCATAATGTGTATATAGTATATGTGTTGCAGTGATAGCGCACAATACGGCGCATAACCACTGCCGCCACTAAACCTGTACTCCGTTTGCAATGCATTCAAAACTCTGTACAAAAACTTCAAACTTTAAAATTAACAAAAAAAATTAATTTGATTTCTAACACAAAATCGCCGATAAATTACATGTAACTATAGTTTTCTCTAAAGACATCTGTATTTATATATAATATTTACTGACTTATAACTGAAAAATAAAACTCAATAATCTATTAGTGGAAAGAAATGATTGTTTTTATAACAAATTTTTACAGCAATTCTCATCAAATCGTATTGTGAGAGCCGTTATGAACACAATTACAATCGTATTCATCGCTGTTTTAACGCAATTAAGTAAATTAAAAATTATTATAACAATTAAAACTTTATAACATTTTATTATAATAAACACATTTATTGTGTGACAGTCAGCGCTCGGACACCACTTCCCGACCAAACGGACAATAAATTTCTAGAGGATTGTGTCGAGTATCACAATAAAGTGCGGACACATCACAACTCTCCCGGCATTAAGATAAATGTGGATGTAATACATATTGTTAATGCGCTTATATTTAATTAGTTAACTGATCATAATAATAATGTTAAACAATTTGAAATATAAAACAGCTTGTTAGAAAAGCTAAACAACGGCTGACTGAATTGACAGCATTCAATAAAATGGATGGCATGAGTCAGACAAAGAGAGATACGTCGTTAGGCGAGAATATCTACCATGGAACTGGTCTGATGTTTAACCATCATTATATTCAGTTTAAATGTTTTACAAACATTTTATATTATAACTCAAATTAACATTTTTGATTAAAATTTCAGGACCAGCGGCATCTCAAACATGTTCACACGCTATTAAATCATGGTAGTATATAATAAAAACATGCTGATTATTTACTAATATTGATATAAACATATTGGTTAAAGGTATAAGGGTTACGATTATTACGACCACGATAAAGCGATGTTTGACTCAAAGACGGGCCAATTTACTCAACTTATTTGGGTTGGCAGTAAAGATATGGGCTGTGCTAGGTCAATGGACAATTTATTTAAACACAATAAGCTTGCTGAAATATATATTGTATGTTTGTATAAAGAAGGTGGAAATGTCAAACATAATTATGATAAAAATGTACTAAAAGCGCCTAATAAATTTAATAAATTTCCATAAATATCAACCCACTTTAATAACAAAAGCAAATTTTTTATTACAATGATTTGATTTTTTTGGTATATTATTGTTTTTATACTTGGTTTTATTAAAAATAATGTACAAATATTTATTTTTTATGCATGCTTATTTGTAATTGTAAAATATTTTAAGTAGATAGGTTATATAAATAGAACATTATATTTACATTTAATAATACCTAAATCTCAAAGAATATGTGCAAAATATATGAACATTAATGTATAAATAGTTAATGGTTTCATAAGACATCTGTATTTAATATACTTAATAAATTTTAATTAAAACAACAAATACTATTCAAAATGAATGAAGTTTATAAATAATACAATTTAATGACAGTTTAAATACATGTTTAATACAATGTGTAATAAATTTCCAATAATACCATTATTATTGCTGAGCATAGGTTTGTAATCTCAATAATTCTGATGTTTACTGATTATCACAATTAATATAACATTCCTAGTGTTGGCCATACACTGTAGGTCCGCCTTTCCGGACAAAACAGATCAGGCATTTTTGGACGACTGTCTGAAAAGCACGAACAAAGCCCGAGACGCTCACAAATCTCGTAAAATCAAATACGATAATGAGGTATTTATATTGTATATTTATTTTTGTACTAATTGTTCACATTATGTTACAAATTTGCATTTAAATACTGCAGTTAAATAACTACGCGAAAGAGAGGGCGAAATACGCGTCAACCGGAATCGGGTTGTCGTTAAAGCATAAGAATCTTAGAGGAGATGTCGGAGAGAATATATACCATGCTAAGGGTTAGGCTTATATTAATATGTATACCAGTTGTATAATAAGTCGTTTTATAAACTTTATATAACTTATAATATTATATTATTAATATTTAATAATGACAATTTAATTGTATGACAGGTAAAATAAAAGTTTGCACGGATGCCATCAAGAATTGGTATGTTACATAAAACATAAATTAACCATAATAAATAACAAATAGCACTAAATGGGCTAGAGTAACTTACTTTATCTGCCTCTTAGGTACAGCGAGATGTCATATTACAACTTCGCTGCGGGTCTATTTGTAAAAGAAGCGGGTCATTTCACTCAACTAATGTGGGACGCGACCGATAGGATGGGTTGCGCTCGCGTTATGAATCCCGTGGACTCCACCGGTAAACGCAACGAAATATACATCGTATGCGTGTATAAAGTGGCCGGCAATATGAAGGGCGAGTTCAAGACTAATGTGAAGCCAGCCGTCAAAAACGTTGACAATTTTGCCGCTGATATGGACTCACCCGCACTCTCACCCACACTCTCACCTACACACTCACCCACACACTCACCCACACACTCACCCACACACTCACCCACACTCTCACCCACTCTCTCACCCACTCTCTCACCCGCACTCTCGCCCGCGGATGACTTGTTTGAAGAGTAATATCATTTAATTTATATTTTATAATCTCTTTCATTGTCTAAAAGTACCTCTTAATTCCTATTTATCATATAACGTACAGTACAAACCGCATATAAGAGAATTAACCTGTGAGTTCAATACACTTCTTTTATATCTGGTATTAGATTTTGACAACTTTAAAGTTATTTAAGACAGTAATTTCATTGATATTAACATATAATGGGTGGTTTCCAGTTGTCGTAATAATTAACCACATATATTTATTAAATTGATTTTCATGCAAAATCTTTATAATCACAATCAAAACATAGAATGTAATTATTAGTCATTTAGATACAAACGAAATAAGAGGGAAATAATGCAATGGCAATACATTTACAAACTAAATCCCACCGTTTAGGGTAACATTTTGTGAATTGAACTATCCTCTTTTAGTGGATTAGTGTAATGGAATTTGTATACATTTTGGTCGAGTTGTACTGATTCAATAGAATATGTGTTAAATTAATTCGCATTTTAATATTTCAGTCAAACATAATAATCAATTTCATTTCAGATGGGCGGCGGACAAGGGTGTCAAGGTAGATAAAAAGCATGTCAAGGCATTTAAAGCGGATAATAAGGAATATAAAACGGATAACAAAGGATATAAAGCGGATAATAAAAAATACAAATTGGATAACAAGGAATATAAAGTGGATAACAATAGATATAAAACAGATAATAAGGGATATAAAGCGAATAATAATGAATATAAGGCGGATAACAAGGGATATAAAACGGATAATAAGGGATATAAAGCGGATAATAAAGGATACAAAGTGGATAACAAGGAATATAAAGCGGATGACAAGTTAGACTACACTATAGAAAACACGGATGACATGCAACATATAGCAGATAACACGGTATATAAAGCGGATAACACTGTTGATAATACGGATGACAAGTTATGTGACGATTAAAAAAGTAAAACTTGTAAGTCTTTCAATTAGTATTAATTTATTTATTGATCATTGAATAGATAACGAGATAATAAAATTAATTATAAAAGCATTCAATTAATTTTTACAATAGAATTATTTGTATAATCAAAATTTAACTCAAACCAGTACTCCATTTAAGATGGACATACTGTAGAAGACCAAGGTGGCAAGATATGCAAAAATTTAAACTCGTAAGTCTATTAATTCAAATTACAAAACAATAAAACCAATTATAACAATAAAAGCAATATTTAAACATTGAATTAATAAAGAATATTCTGTATTTATAGATTAATTATTTCTAAATTGGCATTTATTTGGTTTAACATATTTGTCGAGTGACGTGTGTTTCAGATTATTCCCATAATTATCCTTTGATTCACAATAACATGATCACAAAATACAATTTACAAATCCAATTAATCACTAATTATTTAATAATATCTTATATAAATACAATTATATTATAATTCAAACAATAAAACTCTTGCTTATCCTTAGACAGTATATTGAAGTACTCTTCATCGGGTGTTAACCCAACACTAAAATTAATAATAAATTCATTGGAAATATCTGTATATTTTAAGACCAGAAAATCATCTATTGTTACACATTTTGCTTTATATAACAACATTAATTATCAGTATAAATTATACTGTATAATTGTCAAGAATATCATGTTTTGAACACAAGATTTCATTTTCTAATAAATTATACCAGATGCAAATTAATGTATCTTACTGAAATTAAATATAAAAACTACTAATCATCATTATAATTATTATTTTTAAAAATAAAAAATGTGCAAAGTATATAATGTACTGTACTTATATAATAAATTATACCAGATGCAAATTAATGTATCTTACTGAAATTAAATATAAAAACTACTAATCATCATTATAATTATTATTTTTAAAAATAAAAAATGTGCAAAGTATATAATGTACTGTACTTATATACAGATAAACTCAACCGAAAGTATACACCGTAATATGCGAATAAAAACTAACTGGGTGAATATATTTACACATTACGTATGTACACATTACTTTACAAATAGTCAGTAGTTTTATAAGACATCTGTATTTAATATATTTAGTAAATTTTAATTAAGACAACAAATACTATTCAAAATGAATGAAATTTGTAAAAATATACTTTAATAACAGTTTAAATATATTNTATGTACACATTACTTTACAAATAGTCAGTAGTTTTATAAGACATCTGTATTTAATATATTTAGTAAATTTTAATTAAGACAACAAATACTATTCAAAATGAATGAAATTTGTAAAAATATACTTTAATAACAGTTTAAATATATTTGTAATACAATGTGTAATACACTTCTATTTATACCATTATTATTGCTGAGCATAGGTTTGTAATCTCAATAATTCTGATGTTAACTGATTAACACAATTAGTATAACAATCCAAGTGTTGGCCATACACTGTAGGGACGCTTTTCCGGACAAAACAGATCAGGCATTTTTGGACGACTGTCTCGACAATACAAACAAACTCCGAGACGCTCACAAAACTCGTCAAATTAAATACGATAATGAGGTGTTTATACTGTAAATTCATTTCTGTACTAATTGTCCACACAGTTTGTTACAAATTTGCATTCAAATAATGCAGTTAAATAACTACGCAAAAGAGAGGGCGAAATACATATCAACCGGAATTGGTTTGGCGTTAAAACACACGAATCTTAAAGAAGATGTCGGACAGAATATATACCGAGCCATTGGTTAGATTTATATTATTATGTATACCGTATATGCAATACGTCTTATAAACTTTATATGCAATTATAAAGTATACAGAGTGTACATAACTTATAATACAATAGTATATTAGTAATATTTAATAATGACAATTTAATTGTATGACAGGTGGATATGAATTAGAAGTTTGCGCGAATGCCATCAAGAATTGGTATGTAACATAAAACATAAATTAACTATAATAAATAACATTAAATGTGCTAGAGACTTCAGCCTAGGGTATCTTACTTTAACTGCCTCTTAGGTACCTCGAGATACCAAAAGCGAGTCAATTCACGCAACTAATGTGGGACGCGAGCGATAAGATGGGTTGCGCTCGCGTTATGAACCCCGTGGACAGCGCCGGCAAACGCAACGAGATATACATCGTATGCGTGTATAACGTGGTCGGGAATGAAAATGGCGATTAAACGCTCACAAAACTCGTCAAATTAAATACGATAATGAGGTGTTTATACTGTAAATTCATTTCTGTACTAATTGTCCACACAGTTTGTTACAAATTTGCATTCAAATAATGCAGTTAAATAACTACGCGAAAGAGAGGGCGAAATACATATCAACCGGAATCGGGTTATCGCTAACGTATAAGAATCTTAAAGAAGATGTCGGACAGAATATATACCGAGCCATTGGTTAGATTTATATTGTTATGTATACCGTATATGCAATACGTCTTATAAACTTTATATGCAATTATAAAGTATACAGAGTGTATATAACTTATAATACAATAGTATATTATTCATATTTAATAATGACAATTTAATTGTATGACAGGTGGATATGAATTAGAAGTTTGCGCGAATGCCATCAAGAATTGGTATGTTACATAAAACATAAATTAACTATAATAAATAACATTAAATGTGCTAGAGACTTCAGCTTAGGGTATCTTACTTTAACTGCCTCTTAGGTACAACGAGATACCAAAAGCGAGTCAATTCACGCAATTAATGTGGGACGCGAGCGATAAGATGGGTTGCGCTCGCGTTATGAACCCCGTGGACAGCGCCGGCAAACGCAACGAGATATACATCGTATGCGTGTATAACGTGGTCGGGAATGAAAATGGCGATTA